CTCTTCAACTTTGTACCCCCAAAGTTGTTGGTGTATAATTCAAGTTATACATTGTATATAATCTACATCTAAAATAAATTAAATAAATTACATTACTGATTATTCAGTGTTTATCACAAAATAATATATTATTTTAAATTTCATGTACCCCCTAAGATGTCTTCGCGTACCCCCAGATATAATTTATCTTTAGCTTTGTACCCCCAAAGTTGTTGGTGTATAATTCAAGTTATACATAGTATATAATCTACATCTAAAATAAATTAAATAAATTACATTACTGATTATTCAGTGTTTATCACAAAATAATATTTTTTTTTAAATTTCACGTACCCCCCTAAGATGTCTTCGCGTACCCTCGACATGACACTGACCTGTCTGTGACTTTAATCTGACAAGATTATTGTCACTCAGATTCTTACAGATCGGCAGATATATGCCTTTGAGAAATTGACTTTCGAATGACCTTCAAAACTTAAATCGCCTCTATCCGGCAAACCCTCGGACTTATATTGTCGTGATCTTGACATTTGTACGATATCGGAAATGTTTCAATATTCAGACTTGAACGTATTCTTGGGGTCTGTTGTGAACACGGACATAACATTTCAATTTCTATGAAAGGCGATGAATTTCTTGACTACCTGAACCACTCTTAGCTTCTGAAGGACCTAATGAATTAGGATAACTTACAGACCTTTACAGCACAAGCGCGTGTTGACGTATATATTATTTAAAACTCAGTCCTTACCGCAAAGAAAACGTAACACTTCACAGTTACGTAGATCAAATAGTTAAGGCCGATTAGGGAAATCGTCTCTGTATAGTCTGATATTCTCACGAAAGAAATCCACAAATACACCTTGCAAGCAAAATGCAGACCTACCGATTGTTTTAGCAGGTGGTACATATAATTACCACGACCGATTCTTGTTATTAGTGTTATACGGAGCTGGTTCAAGACTTTCAAATGAAAAATCACTTGGAACAAGACATTCTATCACAACAAAAAGAGTTATTTTTAATGACTTGAAGTTTTCGCGACGACTAAATTTTATAAAATCCTGTCAGGCGACTAAAAGTGTCAGTATGAATGTATAGTCCAACGTTTCAGAGACATTTCCTGATAATTTGAGGTAGAGAATATTTTATCGTAATTTCAATATAATTTGTAAATACATTTTCAATGAAATATCACATATTTTTGAACCCAATTCAGACACCGGCTGCTTAAAAAACACAAATGAAGCCACACATTAATACACAATCCAGTTTTCCGAAATATACAGTCACAGTGGAAGTCTACGAAGGAACGAATGGAGGAAAGAACTCTTACAAATAGCACAAACACGTTCACAAAACGAAGAAAAATTGGACACATTTAAAAGTTTGAATTACAACTGAGAAAGACATACCTGAAGCAAAGTGGATTTAATTCAGTCCAGATCATTTCTTTACGGAACACTGCTGATCTTTTACAGGGGAGGTCTCGGTGGATCAAGGCAAAAAGCACACAACTACAACAACGTGGGTAGAAGGCAATCGAATACGGAGAAACAGTTTATTGACTGTCCTAAAACCATTCGCTTCTGAAATCACATGGTTTTAACGAACTAATTAACTAAACAATAACTTTGTAACTGACCTAACTAACTAACTAAATGGGAAACTCGTAAATTTCCTGATTAACTAACAACCTACGTAATTAAAAAGATAAATTATTCCCTAATTAACCAACTACCTGCCCACCTCTCTTTCTAAAAAAAAAAACTCCTTGAGCCAAGGGCATTCGGCCTTTATTACAACTCAAAGATTAATCACTGTTTGCGTGAAGACTCTCATATGGAATCTATCTTGAGCAATTGTATATATTAAAACAAAATTTCCCTAACAAGAAAAATAACGTAAGTCTCCCCCGTCTTCATTTCGATTTCTTACGCAAAAGTTTTCGAATTATTTAATATCGTACTTATTTATTTTGGCTAAATGTCCTCACCTAATAATTTATATCACTTTAATCAGTTCAACACTAGGCTTTTGTGAGAAAAATAGACATTTCGTGAGATTTCAGGCTCTCAAGGCGGCTAGTCATCTCGAATTTTGCCTACATCATCAGGGCGATTTCTCTGATGATGGAGGCAGAAGTAACCTCAGGAACATCGGTAAACTTATCCCTGAATGCACGGCTAATTAACCTAGAAGGCAGTCATCTTAATGTCAATTATTTTTAAGCAATTTTAACTCAGAAACAAGTATTATCAGCACCACTCTGTCTTTAAATGTCTTCAATGTACGCTTTCTTCCTCAGAATGTAATGATATACGACATCAACGCTTTAAAGCCAAGTGGTAACTATATTTACCACGTGATTTAACAATCAGTAATTCTGTATTTTGTATTTATTGATTTCGTACGATTCTCAGAAAAAAACAGCGATTAAATCCTTAAACAGCGTTAACCATTTGATCTTTGTAATGGTTACGTCTGGTGTTTTCTTCGCGGTACGGACTGGATTCTTATATATAATTTAGACGAGCCTCGGCTTCGAAGGGTTAATTAATTATCGGAATAAATATCTATTATTTCCTTAAACAGCGTTAACCAGTTGATCTTTGTAATGGTTACGTCTGGTGTTTTCTTCGCGGTACGGACTGGATTCTTATATATAATTTAGACGAGCCTCGGCTTCGAAGGGTTAATTAATTATCGGAATAAATATCTATTATTTCCTTAAACAGCGTTAACCAGTTGATCTTTGTAATGGTTACGTCTGGTGTTTTCTTCGCGGTACGGACTGGATTCTTATATATAATTTAGACGAGCCTCGGCTTCGAAGGGTTAATTAATTATCGGAATAAATATCTATTATTTCCTTAAACAGCGTTAACCAGTTGATCTTTGTAATGGTTACGTCTGGTGTTTTCTTCGCGGTACGGACTGGATTCTTAAATGTTATTTTAGACGAAGTTCGACTTAAAATTGTTAAATCGATTATCCACACTCCGATTCTTAATACTATCCATTATGAAGGCAGCAACCTTAAACAGGTTCAAACAACCCAGTTTTATTAAATAGAAAAACTGACAACATCCCTTCTCATACGTACTTTAAAATTAACGAAACTGCAGCTAACGCGATCTCCTCAGAGCCGTTCCAAATTGTGACGTGAACCGAAATTTTCAACACACCAGGCCAAATGGTTCTTGAACAAGGCTTTAAACTCTGAAGATTTCTCAGGCAAACCCAGAATAAGTAACTTTGGTTCTTTGTGGTTTTTAAGTACGACAAAACTGTTTGCCCCATTGCAATTACGATTAAACAAAACACGTCTAATTTCGCCACAGACTTCTTGTAGCGATGGAGATATATCATTCTTGATCTACTCCTCGGAGCTGTTTTGTATTCAAATCCTTTTCTCCATCTGTTACATTATCTGAATCGAATTCCTTCACACATCCAATTATCACCGATGCTAATGTTCAATAAGAGTCAATTCCTCTCCCTGCACCAGTGATTCATTTGAACCTTCTCTCTGCACAAGGAATATCTCGTTATGTGTAACCACGACCACGTCTGAAAGGGATCCAACATAGGCGTGGCACATCTGGGCTAATCGACACGTTCGTTTCAATCGAACCGGGGCTCTGGTTTCTGGGCCGTCGTGACTAAAGCCCGTCACGATTAGTCGACTAACAGGTACCATTGCTTTGTCAATAGTCCATTATTTCCTTCTAGGCTTATAGATTCATAAGTAAGAATCTGCAATTTAACGTAAATCTAACTCCACGAGAAGTCTCTCAGCTGGCCATATAAAACGTCCTTTATGATATCTGAAGACAATCGATCTCACAAAAACCAGATAAATTAAAAACAATATCAGTAAACTAATTCTGGTTATTTATTTAAGTCTTTATAATATTATTATTTAATTTAAAAACCGATTATAAAGAAACCACTACAAACATTTCACCCACGCAAGATCACGCTATACGAAACAACATTAAATGTGATAACAAAGTATTAAAATTGATCTAGAAGAGGATATCTTTCCGATATTTAATGGACATCTGACGAAGGATTGCATTTAGAATATTACATTTGAATTTATATCGATTATACACCTGAAGACGGTTCATTGAAAACCGAAACATGTCGTGAAAAACATGATGCTCTAATTGTAAATCGAACATTTCGATAGAAAGAGCATCATTTTAATATATTTTAAATATTTTAAATATTAAATGTTAATTGTAGTAATAATATTTTAATATTTAATAAAATATTTTATTGTGATTAGACGGTTAAAATTAAACAAAACAATTAATTCTGGCTAATTACTTTTTCATTCGTAAAGATGGCAACGTTAAGATCTCAACTTAAAAAATGAAGGCATTATTGTTTCACGCATTTATAAGAATTATCTTTCACCAGATAACAATACAACAGAGAACAGAATACGCGAAACATGTAGCATGAATGAGAATACCAGAAATACGCTTTGGACTGAAAACCTGGAAGAAAAAGCCAACTTGAAAGATCTAGAAATAGATAGGTGTTACGGCAGTTATTTCGGTTATAGAATGGATTAATCTGGCTCAGAATATGTGCCTCTTGTGAACACGGTAATGACATATTTTATTCCAAAAAAAATTACGAGAAATTTCTTGTTTGGTTAACTATATTGTCATATTCTGAATGAGGACTCTGTCACAAGGAGTAATCTATCCACCTGATAAATAAGTCTTAAAATATAATTTTTGTATTATTGCAAGTTGACATTATCTCCAGTGATCAGGAGATAGTTACTCAATTTTATTAACTCCAGAAAAAAAAATTAGTCTTTTTTTTATGGACATGAATTACTGTCATCGTAAATTTACTGTAATTGAGATTGATAACCACGCAAGATTACAGAATCACCATTTTCATACATCGCAAATTTTATAAAATACAACGAAACAGATCAATCGCGTATTAAGTCGTTCAACTCCCTTCCTTACCTCGTCGTCAGTCAGATGTTTCGATGGCGGTGGCTCGGAACATTTATCATGGCCTCCTCCGTTTATGAACTCATCATGGGATGCAACGAGACACGCGGCTAACAAGCTTCAACAGCAGGTGAGCGCCATCTCACAGCTGCGAAATAAAAATTTCAAGAGTGACGTAAGTCCAATGCTAATCAAGTTACTTTCACTCAACTCATAATTCTAACTAAAATTCGTAGTTAAATTATGTTTTGTCGGCAGAATTTTAACAAATTATGGTATCAACACATGACGTTCTTCAGAAATTACAATATAAAGTAGATACAGGTGGAAAGTACTTAGGAACAGCTTCTCGACAGCTGGCTGATTAATGGATCCAAAATATTAACTTTTCTTTTATGACTATATGCAAATTATTAATGACCTTGGTTTCTGGCCAAAACAATTGGTAACATCACCAACCATCGTTTGCTCAGACGTAAAATGAAGTCTGAAAAGATGTGTTTTACGTAGGCGAGTAAAACCACGTACGAAAAAATGTTTGCTATATACACAGCCACTTTTCACTTGAGCATTTAATAATGATAAATATAAAAATATCTTCACTTTCGTAAAAATAAATAACTTATACATTATTCTCTTCAACTGACGTTATATTTGGCAATACAGATTACAGAGCATGTAATTTTATCATGCCACGAAAAACATATTGTGCGTAGATGGGCTAAAAATACAGCAGGACAATTTTCGAAAACATTAAATCCACCAGACAGATAAAGGAAAATGCTCTGTGTACACGATTAACACACGAATCTGGTGTGTTATTTAACTCGAAGTTGGCTACACTTGCTTTCCAAGACGTAATATAATAAACACAAGCAACAGTGATGGAAGCAATTAGTATTAATTATGACTCACTTTCAAAGCCTTCACTGGATATCAGTTTCAATAACATGATCGCAGATCGTAAGCTGCCAGTGTCGATAAACTGTTGCTGTAAAACTGCCACAGAAACACCAGAACACGTACTTTCCCAAGCAAAGCTTACAAGGCCACGCTATCTCAACACGCCATCTTTCACTGGAGTTGAGTACCAACATGACCGATCTAAATGCGCGAAATTTAAAATCGAGGCAGTAACCCTCATGCAGCTAATGTTTCGACTTTTCAAAAAGGAAATTTGTTCCGAATCAGAAGATGGACGTCTTCTGGGTTGTAGTGCCGTGTAGTCTGGAAGAATTTTACCGAAGTTTTAGAGGTTCTTGCTGCCTCCATCATCAGGACTACGATCGTAGGTGGGTAAGATGTGTTTTTTTATGAACTGAGTTTGAGCCCAGGTGACGAATGAAGTGTGTCATTTAGCGTTCAGGAAACACGGACCGGGAACCGGCTCCACTAACTCGGACGATACTAACGCCATATTCATTACCACATTAACATAGACGTATTTCAGCCGATGTTACAGTGTACAGAGTCATTAACAAACCGAGGATATTTTAAGCCCCTCTGACGTAGTCTGATGTTACGATAGTGTCTACAGATTTGCCTAATGCATTTTTTTTAGTATTAATCGTTCATAACAACACATTCATCTCGTCGTAGTCTCATAACTAATAAAACAACGTTAAAATATTCAAGAAAAGGGGAAATCAAAGTATAAAGGAAACAAAATATATAAAAATAATGTAAAAAGAAATAAGTACGAAAGTTATTATTTATTTAGTGTTCTGTCTGACGACAGGTCCATATGAACAGGATCCTTCCATCCTTTTCTCTTCTCGGACTGGGACCTGTTCATATACGTTCTTGGCAGATGATCCAGAAGTGGTTTGCCATTGCCTTCTTCTGTGTGTGAATGGAGTAATTGTTGGGATGCCACGGAGGAAAACTCCGTGTTGCCTAGACCACGGCCTTGCCCAACACAAGTTATAAATTCGGGCACCGCCGGGAATCGAACCCGAGACCCCAGGATTACAAGGCCAGCGTTCTAACCGATAGAAAAAATTACTGAAAAAGGAGATTAAGAGACGGAGGAAAGAGACATACGCTAAAAAGACGGGAATTAACGTACATACAGAAGACGTACGTAAAATCAAAGGCTTTAAAAATGTGAAAACAGATCAGGATCGAACCACGGCGGTGGCCACTGGAATGTGAAGCCATATTGCGTGCTGTGCCTGAGGTGACACACGAACAATCTCTCGCTTCACGTCAGGCACCACATGGGTTCACCACTACGTGTGTGCAAGAGCGGAATACAAGCCACACGCGGTTCACACGGGGAGCCCGACCACAGTCTCTGCGTGTCACCTCGGCGAATGTCTCAGGTACTGAAGAACCCTGATTCAGGACAGTCGGTCTCCCCTGAATACTCGTAAACAGGCGAGTTAATTCTACCTCGTGGTACTTCTAGAGGCCACCTTGGTTTACAAAATTATGTAAACACGTGACACATTGACACAGTCGTAGAACGAAGTTCCTCATTATCTAATATCCCCAGTTTATACGTAGTTCGATTCCAGTAGGTGGTAATTTTCTATGGCCATATTATGAATTTCTTAAAATGTAGTAAGCCATAAAATTACGACGTGGTACAGTGCGTAACAAATTTATCAACCCACACGTTTCAACGTGTCGTGCTGCAGTCTGTACTTGAAGGAAAGCCTCGGCAATACAGGACAGGGGGTTCAAGCCTACAGTGTTTTCTGAAACCTTACAAGACGTGTTCTTATTTTCTTACAACGTGTTGAACACTGTTGCCGCCTAGCGGGCATGTCTTGTATCTTCACACCACGTTAATCACTCCTCAGGAGGTCTAGTGAATTTAGAAGGCGGTGAAAAATGAACAACTGAAATGATGAGCGGGTTATGGTGCAAATTTCCTCTATTGGCACTAGATGATTACTGACGAGAAGCGTTCGCCATGATGAAAGTGTCATGAATCCGAACGTCAACATCTGGTCCAGACGAATAGACAAATCCGATGCTGTATAAAAACGTGTGTTCTGTCTGACGACAGGTCCATATGAACAGGATCCTTCCATCCTTTTCTCGGACTGGGACCTGTTCATATACGTTCTTGGCAGATGATCCAGAAGTGGTTTGCCATTGCCTTCTTCTGTGTGTAAATGGAGTAATTGTTGGGATGCCACGGAGGAAAACTCCGTGTTGCCTAGACCACGGCCTTGCCCAAAACAAGTTATAAATTCGGGCACCGCCGGGAATCGAACCCGAGACCCCAGGATTACAAGGCCAGCGTTCTAACCTGAGCTACTGACAGTAATATAGTTGTCAGTATGATGTTTGATGGAGAAGGGTACGAACTTATTGTAGTTTCAAAGGCTTGCCCGAGCTTTGTAACGCAATTTTGAAATTTAAGTTTAAAATTTGAATCCTTTGATGCACTGGAGTTGTGTTTCACAATGGTGTTCAGCCAAAAGGCTTCAGGTGTGCTGCAAATTTTTATAAAATACTGTATGAACGCAATTGGTACTTACATAAAAGCAACACCTTTTTTTTTTTCGTAATCTGAATTCGTAATACACATTCATAAATACTGGTTCGTCATTGATAGTTTTATCCAACACGTGTTATAATATTTGTTATGTCTGCACATTTATAGGATGAGGATTTATATGTATCGTAACAGCTTTTCGCGAGGGAAAATTTCGTGATGATCCGCGGGTAACAAAAGTTCGAAAAAGCTTGTCAGGCGAGGGTTAAGCTATTTTAGAGACTGAGATAAAAGAGCGGACTGTTCATAAGGAGGAACAATGGAGGTTCAAAGATTAGTAGAAAGTAGTGCAATATGATGAACATCAAGTTGTCAGGTTGGCTGCATGCATTGCGGTACAGCATCATGCGAGAGACAATTAAAAATGAAACGGGTAATAAATAATCAGGCGTGTCGTCACGAAGAACACTCGAGGCTCCTACAAGCGACTACAGTAAAAAAAAGTTAGCAGCTTCTTTTTTGATAAAGTAGTTCCTAGGAAGACTTCCGTCTTCTGGGTTGTTGCGCTGTGTAGTCTGGTCGATGTTAACCAACGTTTCAGAGGTCATACTGCCTCCGTCATCAGAGTATGAAGATTTCTGTCTTCTGGGTTGTTGCGCTGTGTAGTCTGGTCGATGTTTACCAACGTTTCGGAGGTCATACTGCCTCCATCATCAGGGCGATGAGTATGATACATTTCATTACATTCAGCTACCACAGACCCATCTTAAGCGTAACTAAAGGATGTATAAAGGAAATATTTAGAATAAAGCCAATATATAAACTTCCTTTCCGTATAGACGTATTTACGTCAAATTCTCCGGAACCGTGGTTCCACTGACAATTTTTTGCATAGCAATGAAAATGCTGTGGTCTTGATCGGCTAGTTCTTTATATGAATTAGGCATTGTGGTCTCAAAGAAAAGTTAAAACAGGCCTACAGAAACATTTTCTGTTTGTAAGTTGTATTACGCAATGAAGACGTGTTACAGTGAATGGAAACCTATGGAATACGAGGTCTGGCTACTACACCAAGATGCTAGGCACGGTTTCCATGAAGATGAACATGGAAAACGTAACAGGGTATTAAAAATACATTGCCCCTCAGTTTTCATGAGCTCATGGGCCCCTTCAGCGACGTCTATTTCTTCTGATAATAACGCAATAGTTTAAGGCAACCACACTCTCCTCTTCCAGATGATGATGAACACGATTATATGAATTATTATTACAGCCATGCAGAATGTCCTGTGTTATTATGGCGATGTCTCCATCTTGTTAATTCTTCGTCACAATGAGTCTGTTAACAGCACGACCGGGGTTGAACCTTCACCATCATGCACGCGAAACACGTCCAGCCATGACAACAGCGCATGCATCGAACAACTGCGGAACTGCGCCTAGCAAATTGCGCAATAGTCACACTTTATTTGGCTGACAGTTTATTTGTTTGAACCTCGAAGCGTGCATTTATTGCTCTCTTTGTATTCAATACTTGATCACACTTCCGGAATTAACCCCATGGAACAGTTCTTGAGGTTGTCATCATCATCTTGCAAAGGATTGGGCCCTCGGCCCGTTCCGGACACTTGCTCTGAGCAATTTGCCTCGCCTTTCTTTCGCGAATAGTCAAGAAATTTCCAACCTTTTATGGAATCAGAAGGTTTATTAACGTGTTCACAAAAACCCAACAACCAGTCGACATCTTAAGTCAGATTAATTCAGTACGTAACCTTACATCCCACTTTTTCAAAGCCGAGAAAAACGTAAACATTGTTAATTATTTCTGTGTTCAGAATTTAAACTTCAAGCTTATTATTCATCTAGTAATACATAACTACGTATTTATTTTGACAAAGATAACATTAGTAGAGTCAATAACGATCCTCGTTCTGAGATGGTAACGCTTCTGAATCTCTCCTCTGAACACATCTGAACCGATTGCTATTTCATATATGGTATGTTTATTTGCTATTATTTATTATTTTAGTTCATTTTGTTTTCTATATTCAATCAAATTTCATTAATGTTTTCGAATCTTTTACTTCACAGACTGGTATAAACATCAAAACACCACCTCAACAATAATGTTATATTAATAATATCTAGACACAACTTCCATAAAATATACTGAGAAAGATGATGAAATTATAAAAATTGTAAAAACTATAAATAATTGTAATTTGAGTTTAAAAGTTTATAATTTACACCTGATGACAGTTTCATAAAACCGAAACATGTTGTGAATGTTCCTATGTAAATCGAATACTCGATATGGAAACATAAGATGGTATTTTAATCGTTTTAATTATCTTATCTTACTATTTTATTGTGATTTGACGGTAAACAAATATAATAATTATTTTAGTAGAATCATTAACCATGTAATCTACTTATGTTCTATTCATATTACGACCTGTGATCAGCTTATATTATAGCTTTAAATACCGTCTAACGAATAAATTACGAGGCGACGCAGGAGAATACCATGACCTAATTTAAAGCACAATCTTGACATCTGTCTGGGGGGCTGCGAAAAACCACAAAGGTCCTGTCAGGACAGGTCCCCGGTCAGATT